GCCCAAGCCACCCAGCCTTTCTGTGGGAGTCTGGGCACTCCATCAACCAGCCACGGGTGGTTGATCAACACCAATTACATTCTAGTACAAACCATCATCGTACGCTGATCCGGATCCTGAAGGTATGGAACGTAGAGGCACAGAAGGATGATTGGGTGTAGTCGGTCCTGTAGATTCAACTCGCTCACAAAAATTCGCACGGAAGATTCATTCTCCTTATGGACCGATAACTTCGTGCTGGCTAACGGGATCCGCACATTCTGTTTGGACAGACGGGACCTCACCGAGCCCGTCCGTCCGAATTCGCTCTCAGACGCGACAGTTGTCCATGCCGATAAACAGTATGCACTAATTCATAAAACCGAAATGAATGAGAGAAATGGGCCCGACCCGTCCGAATTCGCTCTCAGACGCGACAGTTGTCCATGCCGATAAACAGTATGCACTAATTCATAAAACCGAAATGAATGAGGACTAGAAATGGGCTTCAGGGATTTGACCAGCCATTCAGACTATGTCCAAACGTTGAACAGAACTTAGCGTAGGAGACAGACCTTCTTTCCACAGTGTGCTAGGAGCCACAAGCCAAACTACAAAAAGTGAAACAGAACTAGTTGGGAATCAGAATGTTTCGTTGCCGCCTTTTCGCTCGCACAAGAAAGTCGTTAGTACTACCGGTTTTAGATTGTGGTTATGAACACGGAAAAAACCTGACTGAAATTACAATACTACAGAAGCAAATCAGACCAGTCATTAGACAGATTTGACGCACGATCCTAGTTCACACGCGCGTTCACAGTCCGTTGTGAGGTCGTCACAATGAAAAAATCCATCAATGAACCACAAAGTCATGTATAATAGACCTAAGTTCGTGCACGCACAGATGCAGCCAGTGGAACGGCTAATTCAACATTTTGGGGCGGGATGGATTGTAAGCAAGCTCGAGAGTAGTATATAGTAGAAGGCAAAATATACGTATTGGAAACCGGGTGTCGAGAAAACGAATCGTATCGTGCTCTGCCCGAAAGCGATGAAATAAGAACAGACAACAATGGGCAGACAAGTAGTCGCCACGCTGAAGCAGTTCACACTGCATAAGATAAAATGCCAGGAGAATGGGGACAAGAACCAGGGGAACGGGAGTAACGCGTGGGCGGCCACACACACACACACACACAAAGCTAGCTGAGTATCTAAAAGTGAATGTGATGCATACTAGTAGTGGCGCATAGTAGGAAAAATAGCACGTCCTTAGATATTGGTACGGGTAGATTTATAGAACAATGAGCTATCAAAATGCCAAACACGTGAGGGAAATAGGGGATGTATAGAAGGAAGAAAATATGGTGGAATGGGCAGGGGGTAATTGCGTGATGTGCATTGAAACGGGCTAACCGGGTTGCACGCGGTTCCGAAGCAATTATCCACTGAACGGGGGGTTGGGGCTACCGCTCAGAAGATTACATCAGCATACACTTCTGGAAAGGGAGAGAAACAATTGAGAATCAATACGAAGCAGTGGGAGGGGACGGGAGGAACGCAAATGGGTTTTCACTTTGTTCTCTTGACGTGCTTCATGTATAACAACATCCACGGAACCAAGCTAACCAATGTAGGGGCATCGAAGTAAACCTATGCAATCGCCGGTTCCGGTGAACAGTCCAGTAGCCAGAGTGCTGATAAAGGTTTACCTGGATGGAACGCACGGGTTCTGCGATGACCCGGTAAGCCATCCAACAGTTAAGATCAAGAGCAGCAGTCAACCAAGCGAGAAGGAAAGTCCTGTACGGCTGGCGACACCCATCACGCTGTTCACCTAAGCTACTTCAACATGATGAACTAACTTTAAGATTCCATGATGTGATGAACGGAACCGGGATTCCACGTCACTAGAAAGACACAGCTTACTCACAGATTCCACCAAGTCCAATCAGCTGGTCAAGTCGCAGAGAATTTGGAAAATCTGGTAGAAATAGCCGTAATCTGGGATTACGAGATAACCACGTCGCAGTTGGTGTCGTATGGGAAGCTCTACGGTGCAACCTACTCGTCCGAGATAGCCGGCACATTCACTACTATACTGAGTTCGAGATAGCTCAGTGTCTAGGGCGTGAACTTGCTGACCGGAACGTTCGTGGTTCGAACTCAACCTCGGGACTGTCCTTGTCTGGATTTGGACAACCAAGCAGTATCCTAACCCACGTGGTTCCTTTGGATGGTATTGCAGCCAGGTGCAGAGAGGACGTTACAGCTGAACGACCATTATTCTGTTAGTAATATCGAAAACGTCAGGATAAAATAGTTCCCAAGACGGCCGATTTCCCAGCTGGTACTAAGTGTACAAAGAAGTCATTGAATGAAAATGCACCTCCCTTCGGGGAGGGTTCGATAGTCCCAGAAATAGCCGGATAAAGCCGGCTTGCAGAAACTACCCCCTTGGGTCGTTGAGACACTGAGTACCACACACTATCATCACAAGATCGTGACTTGAATCAAACGTACAAACCCATGTTCCGCAAGTCCTTTTAATTTGCTTCGACTAAACACGGATACCCTGAAACCACCTACGTCCTTTTTGGTATTTATTCTCCCGGATTTAGGAGGAGAATGCAGGGGAATCTGCAGGTTTCATCATGACTACTACCATCGGCGAATAGCTCCTGTCATTTAAGACGTGCTGGAAAGTTTTTAAACACACTTCGCTTGAACTTAACGGTAGGCTTTTTGTCTCGATAATCAATACATATATCATTTCCTTCAGGGCTCAATACTTGCGGCATTCACAGTGACGACAGAAAATACGCAGGGAGTAATCAATAAAGAATATACTCCTCCACTCCTGCTCGCCTGAATATCACTTTGGGAGTAAACGAAGCCTGCTATCTAGTAACTGTGGGAAACAAAACCCGGTACACTACTTAACGGAAGACATAAATTTTACGGGAACCAATGTCGAAGGAGTCATCCCGTAAAGTAAGCAATGATCAACAACAAAAGCAACATTTTGGGAGCGAACCGGCTTAGAAAACAAACAAAAACGCCTGACTTGACTAAAACAACCCAGTGGAACAAAACAACTGAAGTGTGTCTTACATGCGGAGTGCGCTATGTTGGGAAACACATTGCGACAGAAGTGATGAACACGCAACCTGGAATGTGAACTCGGATTAGGCCCACATTGGGTGTTTTATCTGTTGCAGGTGCCTTTCAAAACCTAGGCGGTTATGGTCTGTGTCAAATCGGTTTTTAACTCGAAAAAGGTTACATATTTTAGATTGTTCGTTCTACGTACAAGGGGTACCAAGGCTCCATTCCAAGACTGTTATAAGCTGGCAACGCTCGCAAGAACCGGGTGGAATAGCCTGCTAGAAGGATGGGCTGCAACATCTGCCGTTTGTCCTCTAAACGGCTGTGGAGGAACGACAGGTTTCTTGGCTTCGGTTGGCGACCACTTTATTGTTTGTCCAGTTCAGTTGAGGCTCGATCCCCACCACCACCACCACCACAATGAATGACAACTGATGTCAGACCAAATTCGACTATGCTGGTAAATGTATTTTCTTAACTTTTTGAAATGATGTTTAGCCTACTGAGGCAGTGGTATGAATAGCCACAACAGAAGTTAGGAGCATTACTATACACACGCACAACCTAGGTCTCATGATCCGGGTTGGGCCCAGGTCCAAACAGAGGAAGTTGGATGAGGCAGGACTAACTTCTATTCTGGTAGTAAAGTACATAGAATCAACGACTTTACCGCAGGGGGAGGGAGGATGGCGAAGGAGGTAAAAGCCACATCGAAAACTTCGACCTACTTCATCGGTTCCAGCTCGGTGGGCGGTTCTACGACCGAAGCTAACTCCACTTGGACGGATTCGCTCCCGCTTCACCGTGCATTTTGCTTGCTCCTGTTGAGGTGAAAAAAATAAAAGGGGTAACTGAAGTATCCAAGCTTCAAGGGGCCACTTCTATGGGATGCACACAGCATCGTAAGGTAAGTTTTCTTGATCTGATGTCCACATACATACGGACCGATAATATTAGGAAGCATGAGGTTAGGATAAACGGAACATAGCACCTTTCTGAAGGAGACCATGCTCAAAACGCAGTAGTCTGTGGTGCAAGATCTTGCAGTATAAGTCCTAACCACACATAAGGTTTCGGTTACGCACCCCGGAAAGAGGAGTCACGAAGACGAAAACCACATACGCTTCCAAACACGCACACACGAGGAAGTTGTGTCAACCAAGACGGCTGATTCCATAACAAGTCTATTGAGAATTAGGTCCACCACCTTCCAATGGTTCCAGTGGTACAGTTGCCCTCCAGACCACCATCATACCGTCGCCACATATTCCTCCAGTGAAGCGAAAGGAGACCTCGTAAGAAGAATAAACCCAGAGAGAAAAAGCAACCGGACCATGAAACAGACGATCTTCTTTAAGCACTATGTAAGGCGCTTTGGCAATCTCATCGCAGCCGTAAACCGAGAGTCCTCATTGCAAGATACACTGTATAGAGCTATATTCTAAGGACGGAGATAAAATTATTTTACAGTCTCTATCTACCTCAATCACGAGCCCATTCACATGCTAGGGTGGTGCCCATTCTACCGTTTGTTATTGCCGAAAGGACACAACACGAAGGTATCAAGCATTAGGAATGTAGGCAGCCTAAACCAATTTTTGGAGTTGTACACCAGGGGCCGGGCTTGTTAAGAGGTAATTTTTGTAAACATATGGAGCAGTTGTGATCCGAAGACTTGATATTCCCGCTGTGCGGCCGTGTAATACACACAACGGTGCAAGACCATCCATGCGTAAATCTGGACAGCCTTCAATTGTTGTTACCATGTGAAACCAATTACTGCAATATTGGATATTCTCCGACCAAAAACCACCAATTAGCTGGAGTGGTGTGGAAGCCGAGCTGCTCTAATCCTCACATTGCACTGTGGTTCAGGCTGTTCACAACAGACCGTGTGTACGTTCTTCTGCCCTACTGATGTGACCGTTACTCAACTCGGCTTAAGCCGTATGCAACGTGCATGTGGGTATAACAATTATCTTAGACTAGGCTTCTGGTTCACTGGAAAACAAGGTGAAAATTGCTCAGGCCGATGAAAAGTACGAACCAGTTAGAACTATCTCAACTTGCTTGGGAATCGGCATAATGCACTTTGTACATCAACAGGGAAGGTTTCACTGGAACTTGAGGCAATGACGGTTTAAACTAGATGACGGAAATGAATACTGCCTTGTTTGTGAATAGTTTATTTGGTTTGTGGTCTAAGACGTACATATTCATGCTATCCGCCTTCACTGGTGAATGTTCTATTGATAAAAAACAAAGGTAGTTGGAACACCATTAACCGGTGGTTTTGACACAACACTCGAATGACATCTGCAGGGAGCTTAAATTGAAGCTCGGGGTGGGGTAAATCACTCGTCAAGTGGTGTGAACTGATCGGTAACAAGAAGTTTCGTATTCTCTCCAGATGACACCGCCAGCGTAATGAAGATGTCATCCTGACTGGTAACGAAACGTTTCTAAATAAATACCAGGAAAAATTGCCAATGGCGATAAGGTAATGAAAATAAGTGAGGTTACTGATGTTCAGGTTGGGAATACCTTGATCGGTCAGCAAGAAGAATTTAGAACTTTTCTCGATATAGACGACTCTTTGCCGGGTTCGCTAAGCTTAGAGCCCATTAAGAAGGTCTAGGACCAGAATCTCGATTACCTAACTGGATGAATTTGCAGATAAACATTGACCTGCAAATTAAGTTGATGTTAACAGAAGGCTCAGTTGAATTAACTTGGGTCCTCTCTTCTACAATCTTGAAGGGAGTTTCCCCGACATCACAGATGTCGTTCCAATTGAAACACAAGATGGTATTTAGGCAGTACACTCAGTTGAGGGCCAGTATAAACGAGGGCTACAGGCGAGATTCATTTGAGTCCCCCGTTAACACTAGTTCAATTTCCAAGTAAGTACACATCCACTTTGGCTCTGAAGCCCGGAACAAGACTGATGGAAATTCGAGGACTAGGCCTACTTGATGAGCTCCAAAAATGGGACACGTTTCAAAGAACAAATATGACATCGGATGGGGGCTGGGCATACTCAATTCCATTTCCTCGCAGATTAAATCGATATGGTTTCAAGTGCTCACTTCCAATCGAGCGATATCTCCGAAGCATTGTTCGAACCTAGCGGGGACATTAGATCAGCACTGTTGAGAAATGTCGAACTAGGTTTGGAAGGGAAAATTGATGGAGGGCCAGGCATTGCACCAGCCTGATCGTATGCTTCGAAAGTCATAAAGCCAACTACACTGCAAAGCCCTTTTCGCCCGATCGTGTGCACAGGAGGATGAACTTGGGAAAACTCAGGCAGTGGGCTAAAGAACAAGCACGACCAGTACAACCAGTCACCTTCTCAGGTAGAGACCTTGTGACGGAACATATCAATAGTTACAGACAGGTGTAACCAACGACTTTCATGAACCTCCAACGAGTCAACAGCCAACCAAAATCCCCACACCAATGACGACATCTGATTCACAATCCAAAGACACCTGTTACCGTCCACATTTCCAAAGTAATTGGTGGGTGAAAAGATGGCAGCTAGAGCCAACGTACTGGTGGTGATTTCAAGGTGGTAATGACATCATTTCCAAAGTTGATGAAACACGTCTTTCAGTGGTCAGACTGACTTGAAACTCTGATAGAAGTACTTTCAGTGCATATATTCGATCCCATTTGTTCAACCTGCCACGCTTGTACAATTAAAAGTTAAAGTTATAGACCACACACTTGTACAGCTGCCTACTAAGTATACAGAAAAAAACAATTGAGAACCCCTGTGCTAGAGGATTACGCCTATTTTTACTAACACGTGATGACAACTGGTCAGTGTCTGAAGCTAAGGGCCAGAGAACGCCCGATTGAATGGAACAAATCTGTTTTGTGTTCCTCCGAGCAGACAGGAAGGACCAACCCTTGCATTTTTTTTTATCAAGAGTCCCCTTTCCGTCATTAAGGTCGAGAAGAATAGCGGTGAGAAAACTTACCACGCCTTCTGCATCCAACAGAGTGATGACCGCTTCAGGACTTGGATGGAAGGATTTATTTTTCATGACGATATCTGTGGGCGGGTTATGAGTGGTTTCCGTATCACTGCTCCATATCTGTGAAGGAGAAACACGGAGAAAGAGGTTGTGAGGTTTAACCGTAACAAGGGGATTGAGGCTTTTGAACTTTGAACATCAGTAACCCAAGTCGCAATTCGAACACACAGAACAAACACCACGACAGTCTGACTGAAATAACATAGCGGTCTAATCTAGGGAAATCTGTGGTTGAAGTTACTACAGAATGTCTTGGACTGCACCAAGCAAGCAAGCTATGAGGACTACACAGAGAGACAGCACAATCACAAAGTAATTCATAAAAACCGAAGTGTAAATGTCCTCAGAAACACTGGACACAACGTGCCTATAAGTGCAGTTAACTGTCGCAAACTTACGTAAACATCATTAACTATCGTAAGCGAACGACATGGCACCACCAAGATAGCTTATGACGTCACTCTGGGACGTTGGATGATATCGGTTTTCAGAGAGACCAGAGGCTGAAGACGTGTGGTTAGTCAAAGCATCGTCTGGAGGCAAAATAAATCTTATACAAGATATGTCCTTGGTGTGAAGCAGCTGCATAGTGATGTCTGACTAGATGATAAATAATAATCGTTCAGTCTTTCCGTGTCTAACTGCCATGCCACACGGAGGCACGAGGGCTGGGATACCGCCAGGTTGCCCAAGCCTAGACAGGGGAAGTCGAATGGCAGTGGTCGGGTTCGAACTACGAACCCTCCGACCAGTAAATTCGCGCTCTAATCACTTGGTCCATCTCGCCCTATCTAGATAAATGCAACATCAACAACAGAGGAACACACTTGGCTTACAAGCATGACACCTCAACAACCGACTAAAATGAAACGTACAAACGTTAAAACCGCTCGTCCAGCTGTAACAACCTTTCGGTGCCTAACTACCACGCCACCCGACGAAAGCACGAGGGCTGAGATAATGCCCAAGCCTAGACAGAAGCAATCGAGAGGTCGGTGGTTTGAACCGCGACGCGCCAGTTCGCGCCTTAACCACTGAGCTATCTTGAGCTCAAAAAACAGTGGTTGGAACTTTAGGTCACATGCTTTGGTAACAATGGTCTTCAATATGTCGTTTAGTGCCGTCCATATATTTAACTACAGACAACTGTACATTAGTTCGGGCTGCAGTAGCGCTCGAAATGACGCTTGAAAAAGGCGAATAATTCGGACAAGATGAGAAGTAGACCGAATGGTCGAGTACCGGTTAGGGATAGGCGAGTGGATGGGGCAGTTTGACTGTTTCTGCAACTTACTCGGAAAAGACACCATTAAATACAACAGCTCTAGTTCAGGGAATCATTCTTGCAAAAGAGAATGAGTTCTTTTCGCCCCGATGTTCGATAAAGCACGACAAATTCGCAGGAAGAATGTTCACAATGGAAGAACAAATTCTGTGGACCGTCTCAAACAGAATTGCTGGAATCCAAGTAAGAAACGTACCGTGCATGTTGTTCCGGGTTTGAGCATGAGGGACCGGTGAAATTTAAATCGGGTCTCCTGCCCATCGGCCTCATGGACGAGCTCCCAGTTTCCCACGGATACCTCCTATTATGGAAGAAACAGGAAGTTAGCAATGCTGTACTGAGCTCATAACGGCCTTACAGACGATAAAAACTACGAGTCCAGAAAAGAATATGTTGGACAGAGTCAAACGTGGAGGTAAAGATAGTGTATACACCTATTTTTGGATGACAAGGCACGAAGGTCTGGATAAAACCACTTGACAATTTAGTTTGGCGGAAAAATGAAGACAGTGCCAGTTAAGGGCTCACACGCTTGGCCATGCAACAGTTTAGGAACACACAGGAGAGCATCGTTACATGCCAACATGGAAGACTGACTAGCCGCGGTTGGAGGACAGAGACGTAGTCCTTTTCATTGCTAACTGAATTCGCGTGCTTATATTCTCCAATAAAAGATTCGTTTCTGCTAAACTACAAAAAGAAACAGAAATCCCATGCAGCCCGTAGGGTTTCCCGTCTGAAAGGTTAAAAGACTTGACAAGTTCCAAACGGCACAAAACATCCTGAAACTAGAATCAGGCTGAACAGTCTCACCTCAGTTGATGTGTTGTTCAGTTTGACCCACTTCCCTTGGGTGTCTTGTTCCTTGAAAAATTCCACGGGTCCAGAGGCTGTGGAAGAGACTCGATAAGCATATCTGGACTTGGAAGAGATGAAACTAGCTCCCGTCAACCCGGTCTCTTCACCTTCCAAGCCATCGTCCATTCGCCTACGTTTACCGGGTTGGACGTTGAACGGCGATTCACGAGACAGGGGTTGTAGATTTAACCTACAGCAGACAAGCGTTGGAAACATAGGCATTTCGGTTAGGAAAAAACGCGCACGAACCCGAAAAACAAGAGCCTCCGAAACAGAACTCAAACTAGACTCATTTTAGACGGGCAAAGAGTGATGAAGTCAGTACTGGATGCTCTGAATATCTGGCTTAATTGTGGATATAGGATACAACAAAATCGATTTATCAATGCAATGATAGAGTCCCCGGTGGCCTTTTGGAAATATGATTACCTGATGATAAATGTTTCCACCTGTCGACAATATATTTAGAGACATCACACGTTTAGGTAGCTAGCAGAAGACGATTTAGGTACGGTGACGTCTGTCTACGCCAACCACAAGTTGAAATATAATCCGTCTCGTTAGTTAATGCGAAAGCAGTCGTACAATCGGGTCGCATATATCAACCACATACACAATCTTCAAGAACCCGAAAAAATCAGCAATATTTGCCAACACGAAAGAGAGAGGGAGTTAAACAATGGGTGACCAGAACCTGCATGATGATGATGAAAGTGCACATCCTGTTTCGCATTCGTCGATCAAGAAGCGCCTGGTAGGAAATGCCTACCGATGCCAGTCTACCATTAAGTAGTTCAAAGAGTAAGAGGTGGAAATTGACGCGGGTGATTATAATCCGGCATTCCNCTGGAGTTTGGACAGTACCGGTACCCATGGGATTCAACTCCGGACCTGATTTGTGTATGGTTTCAGGTGTTTAAGGTAGACCATCCTGGTGTGTGAAAAAGGCTTACCTCGACTCTTCACCTTCTAACATCTTTCGGTACATCAGTATTTCCTGGTCCAGAGCAATCTTTGTGTTCATGAGGTCTGAAAACTCTCTGAAGCTTTCTTCAAGTTCATCCCGTAACCTGCGGATTTCCTCAGACTGGACTGATAGTTGTGAATCATGTTCCCTGCGTTCCTTCTCTAGCTGGTTTTCTAGATCTTCGACACGATGCTGAAGAAGGTTCAATTCAGCTATTTTCTTGGCTAATTCGTGCTCAAGGTCGTCCGCACGCTTACGAACTGCCAAGAAATCGCTTCGTTGTCGAAAAGCCTCGTCGGCGGACCGGTCCGCAGCGGAATGAAGCTTTTCGAGCTTCGTCTATAGTCGGAGGGAAAGTGTAAACAAAATTGGCTTCATCAGAGGTGAAAGGACTCTTTCAAATGTACCACAGTTAAGACTGACACTAACTGTTCTCAGAAAATGAACAAGATCCTCGTATGTGTACAATACCCCACTCATCTTTAACCACAGAAAGATAGTCACTTATTTGAACAAAGGAATAAGGTCAGACACGTTCAGCTACGACACACATTCCGAGCATACCTGCCATGCCATCCGAGGGACGAACGAGGGCTGAGGCAGCGTCGGGCTGCCCAAGTCTAGACAGTAGTCGAGATGCCAGGGTCGGGTGTAAACCACGGATCTTCAGGGCAGTAAATTCGGGCTTCAACTACTGAGCTATCTCGAACTCGAGGTTATCTGGACAGCGATAAGGTGTATCTTCTTGAGAACGATCGGTGTATACTCTAGACCTAGGAGGAACGCTAAGGTGCAGCAGAGTTTGTGGATTTCCGCAGGTATGAAAGATATGCTAGTGCATGGCGTGCGGTAACCGTGACTTGATCGAGTAAGCTAGGGGAGGAAACCCAAACATGAGGGCTGTTTGCGCAAACATGGTGTTGTTGAATGTAGCACGTCAAACAAACGTGAAATACGGCTTACTTCAAACGTTTCCTCCAGCTGATATTTATACTCTTCCAATTCTGATGCGGTCTGTTCACGGATGGACTGAAGTTCATCGGCCAATCGACTTGCATACTCAGCCTGTTTCCGTCCTTCCACCTCCTCTTCAATGTACATTGTTCGTTGAGTAAGTTTTTCTCGTTCCTGATAGCCAAATAGTAGGGATCAGTGACAAGACGGTGGCTAAAACTTACTTCATCGAACAAGCGGGTTCTGAAATCAAGTTGTTCTTTGAGTCCAAGCACTTTATTCTCCAGGTCGGTGCGCAACAAAGTTTCAGCTTCTAGGTCACGCTGCACTTCCTCGAACCGTTTTTCCAAGGCTCTAAAGTCATTAAGTAGGGGCTGTGAGAAAACAAACATGAATGGCATAACTCTCACGTACCTGATAACGATCGTGGTCTTGTTTGTAAGAGGCTAAATCTTTTTCCAAGTTCTCAATACGTCTTTGTAAAGTTCGAATTTCTTGATCACGTTTGGCGACTTTGGACTTGGCAGCGTTGGCGTCATCTTTTGCTTGTTTGGCATCTAATTCTGCCTTAGTTTTCTGCTTTGCTAGGTCATCAACAAGATTCCGCAGAGCAAGGATCTCATCTTCATATGTTTTTCGGGCCTCTTCAACTTTGCTCTAGAACCATTAACTAAAGGGAATATTTGGAATTACCATGCGCTCTTCCGTTACCGAGTGTATCCGCCTTGTAAGACGTTCTTTATCCAGTTCCAGTTTGCGCACATAGTCAATGTAACCAGCCAAACGATCGTTTAGGTGAGCGAGTTCGTCCTTCTCCTCGTTACGGCTTATACTAAGGGGACTGCTGGACCGTTCGTTCCGTGATAGACTGTGGCGAGGGGTACCGGAAGAAAGCCTAGTTTTTTCGATAGTGACGGACTTAGAGATGGTAGAAACAGATGGACTGCCTTCAGTTTTCTCCGTCTCCGCCACCTTTTGCTTTCTCGATCGTGCTGACATGATAAATTTGCTAAAAAACGAAATATTAGAGTATAACCATTTATGTAAAAAACTTGTTATGGAGTCCTCCGGGTTGGCTAGAGCTTGACCACAGCCTCAGTATAAGGCGGCGCTTCACACAGTTGTTGTTCAACTGTAGCACCCTTCCGGTGACTAGCTGCCATGCAAACGGAGGGAGGCACGAAGGCTGGGATACTGCCAGGTTGCCCAAGCCTAGACAGGAGCAGTTGAGATGCTGAGGTTGGGTTCGAACCACGGACCTTCCATCATCATCATCATCAATGACAGCAACATCAGTGTTGGCACTGATGCTTCACTGCCGTACCTTCCGGACGTAAGCTGGCGCCCTAACCACTGAGCCATCTCGAGCTCCGCACTTCACACAAATAACCATGGACCTAAGTTGGCGCAGTTTACGCCCTACTGAGAACCCTAAATATATGTATAGTGGTTGTGGGAACAGCTGGACACTGTTAACAGGTTAAACAAAGTCCTGCTTGGATAATCGTTATCGACAGCACAATATCAGCGTTTAACACTGATGCTTCGCTTCGTCAGTTTGTCAGCTATAAACCATGTGCCAAGAGTGTGTTGGTTCTATTTGCCACAGTTCCGTTCACCGGAAAGTGAGAGTGTGGGACATACAGCCAAGCATTTGAGGCGACGACATGTTCATCTAATTAGGGAACTGGGTAGCTTTGATGAACGAGTGCCACTAACTCTGCTTTCATTGGTGAGCTGAATCCCAGGGTCCCCATGCAGAGAGGCAACAGTTACTATCATGATTATCGTTCTTGTTTCCATATCTCGTTGCCAGGTCATACACTGTCCAACTCTAGGTCACTTTCACTCAGCGCGGGGCTAGGTGAAGTACACATGCCAATCAGCGTAGTCTATGAAACATGAGTTCCTTCTTAAAACTATCTGCCGTACCTCAGCCTGCTAATCCAATGTTACTACCACCAGATTTAACCAATGCTTCGGAGACACCGATGGACAAGAACTAGCAGTTTCCGTAAGTCATCTGCGCGTAGAGGTCCTTGTCCAGAAAGTAGTACGGATCCGCCACTGAAAGGCAAGTTATTGGTTGTGCAAGGGAGACTTCCACTGATGCGTCCAGCGATAGAATCTGCGTTGATTAGACCGTCGTTTCCGAAGGAAGCGCTATTTTCCATGCTCAATTCAAAGTGGTGAAAGCCGAGGTGGCCAAGCCTTGACCTAGCAGAGGGACCTGAAAGAGATCACGAAAACTGGGTGCTATCGGTGCAACTCGCCTTCCAGGATGGGTGGATCGCATGGCGTCTATTGAGCCCGAAGACGCTGTCCTCGACAGAGAAACTAACGTCACACCGGTGCTACAGGTGTAGGAGGTTGGCGAAGGCTGCCCTGGCTCTCTGCTTCGAGAAGTAATCTGTTCTCCAGTCAGTTCACAGGAACCTGTGCATATGCGCAGGTATACAAACTTGTCTGCCATGTCGATTGGCTCGTCTGAAAGTACGATGATTGGGCTTGATCCGGTACATACCAAAAGGTGTGGCAGAATCATTTAGGTTGGTCAGAACGAACTTCCTATTCGAAAGATCTGGCCAAGAAGAGCAGTATTGCCGGCACACTGAATATTGGTGAGCAAACGTTCAGAGATCTCCGAGGTTTCGGAGACAAGCAGAGAAGCTTTAAGCAGCACATCAATAGAGTTATAGAGAAACAGTGAGATAGAGCACCCTCGTCTTACATCAGTTGGTGTGGCGAAATCAGGCAAAAACTTGCCATATATTCTTACGTGCGACAGGAATTCGTATACGGCGCTCTCATAAGGGATATAAAGTTGGGGGGCGAGATGGCCCAAGTGGTTAGAGCGCGAATTTACTGACCGGAAGGTTCGTGGTTCGAATCCGACCTCCGCCACTCGACTTCCTCTGTCTAGGCTTGGGCAACCTGGCAGTATCCCAGCCCTCGTGCTAACTTCGGGTGGCATGGCAGCTAGGCACCGGAAGGGTGCTACAGCTGAACGCTTTTTTTATATAAAGTTGGAATAGGCATCTTTGATCGCCAGGCATCGTTAAAGTTCATGACGATTAATAGAGTAATAAGTAGCTTTCAGATCAAGGAAAATAACCACGAACCGTTCAGCCGTAGTACCCTTTCAGTGCCTAACTGCTATGCCACCCGAAAGAAGACGACCAAAATGAGATGAATGAATGAATGGCGCCGTTCAATAAAGTCTCAAGGTAAGGGCATGGTCGATGGATCCTCCTAGGAGTTTGTCTCCCACGACAACCAAGCAAACTGCGCAAAATACTACCAGGCGGCACCTTCGATGCCATGGCTACCAGGATTATGTCACGATGGTTTCTGCACGTTTTTTACCCTTTTTGAAGACCAGAGTCAAGGTCGATGCGCCCAATTCCACCAATATTCTGTTTATGTCCTGAACCTTCTGAAGTAGGATCGTCAGACTGTTCGCTATGGCTTCAGTCCCCTTGGGAGGTGCGGAGTGCGCACCATCTGGACTGGCCGCCTTGCCATGCTGAAGGATATCTCACGCTGGTTACTTGTTGTTGACGACTGGCTAATGTGGATTTCCATCCAGGTTCGTTGGGTTCCTTCAGAGGTTGTGTTGAAGGAGGCCAGTTGAACTGCTGTGTTTGGCCCATCGCTCGAACCATGTTTGCCAGTCAATCACCGTTCCGTCTTTTTTGCATATTATTTCGCTGACACTTGCCGTTGAAATAAGGCACGGCTGTTGCCTGCAGCGAGGGCCTTCTCTATCTTTCGGCCCTTTGCAATCGACCACCCAACCAACCTAAGGCTGCCAACTTGAGGTGGGGTCGGACTTGGGTGTTGCAATAATCTTGCGGGCTACATTAGCTGGAACTTGGTTTCACAATGTGCAGCCATGCAAAAAGGGGCCGAGATGGCTGTGGTTAGAGCGCAAAATCACTGACCGCAAGGTCTGTGGTTCGGGTCGGACTGTCTATGCTTGGACAGCCTGGCACGAAGAGACTGGACCTTACCGTGGTGTGATGGTTTGCGCACCTCGGCGGTCCATTGAGCTATACTGGGGAGTGTCTTCGCGACACTCATAGAGTCTCTCATACCAGGTTGGTCCATGGTTGGGGGTCTGACGAACACAGTCTCCTGGCCCTCCAGGTCGGGGGTTGGAACATGTGGCGACTTGTTCCGTAGAAATGGTAATGTATTTGCATTCCCCGCCAAACGCCGCTGCCTTGCGGTTAGGCTTTTGAGCCAAAGGCTTCGGTTGAGGACCCTAATCGTCCTCCTGTCTAGGTGTGAGCGCCCTGGCAGTATCCCAGCACTTGTACAACCATGACATACACAAATTGTACGGCAGTGAAGCACCGGCGTTGAACACTGATTTCATGTTGTCGATGATGATGACAGCCTGGCAGTATCCCAGCCCTCATGCATCCTCCGGGTGGTATGACAGCGGCACACTGAAAGGTGGCACAGCTGAATGATTATTATTACTTTTCAACCACATCAAAAGCAGCGAGACCTCATGCTACGAGTAGTCGTCTCGATCTAAGGCTGTCACATTGTCGTGGTGGTCGGGCGTCTGTGCTGCAAGGATCCTGCAAGCGATACTGGCTGGAACTCATTTCTTAAGGGTTCAACCATGCCAAGAAGGCCAAAGGGGAGCAGCCCGAAGGAGAACAGCGAGGTTGCGAGTAATTGTATTATGAGGCGGTCTGGAGGTAAAGCCGCACTATCTTCTGCGATAGGAGTGAGAAGGCAGTAAGGTGTTTCCCCCAGATAACCAGCATGTCCATATTTATGGAATCAGCGCTGCTGTCTTTCTCCAAGAAACGATAGGTTAGAAAAGGTCGGCCTTAAAAACCACACACTCCGATCGTCCAACGATTGACGGTCACCACCGGCGCATTATTCAATACAATCGAAATACTTTTAAAAAACTAAAGCATCCGGTGCTTCTCAAAAGCTACCTACTGTGCGCAGCACCTAGTGAGGCAGCAACGCCTTACTCCCTGTGTCCTCGAGCCAGGCCAGCTCTCTGCAACCATTATCTCGGGGCGGGGTCCCACAAGAAAACCCTAACAACCGCTGCTCGTGGTTCAGACTTTTGAGTCAGGGGGTAGAACCAGGGTCCCCAAACAAAACCCGACATTCTCCCATTGCCTTGTGGGTCAGACTTCTGAGCCACAGACCCAAGGGGGAGCACCTCAGACCAGCTTCTCCAATCTGAGTGACCTGGGAGTATCATTCGCCCTTGCAACTCTTCCTCCACCGGCCGTCTCCCACTCATCGTATCGTTCACGGCGGTTAACCCATCTGCCAGTTCCCTAACCACTGTTTCGTGTCTAACCTAGTAACCCTCAAAATAACCCAAAATAATTCCCCACTAAACCCCAAAGTTCTGACCCACGTTGAAGTTTTGAAAGTCTGCACCCTAAGTCATATTAGGCAACTGGGATCTCTTGCTGAAACTTTGCTTCCTCTATCAGTCGATGTATGCTAGGTCATTGAAACACGCACACAAGACCTCACTTCGGTCGTGCTTAGGCCGCCACTGGCAGCAACATCCTTCGCAGTTGACGCCTAATCAAACTAGGATATCCACTTAAATTTGGGCCACTGTCCGACCAACTTCTGCGCACAGGGCCCTTACATTCCTAAACATTGATGGGACAATACTGGGGAATACCGACTTCGGGTGGGCATAAGAGTATTGCAATATTGCTCGTGTCAGTTGGATTCTCGTACATTGTGGTCCTTAGTTTTCCCCAAGTGTCATGAAGGCCAGTGTACCGAAGTTGATTATATCTCTACTAAATTTGATGTGTGAATTTAGATGGTTGTGACTCACTGACCTTGTGTCGTTTCATCACGACGATGTCATCTACATAACGTCAAAATATATTGGGTGGGTATGGCTAAGGCTCTGTTCAAATTCTTCCATAACTATATTTGCCAAAACCGGGGATGTTGGACATCCCATTGCAAGACCTTGTTCTTGAGTGCGAACTACGG